AGATGGGAAGTGAGCATTCATTAGGAACCTTAGTGTTTCCTCGATTGTTTCTATTATATTACCCTCGTCGTCTACCATAGTTTGGGGTTGGGTGTGGGTCTTGGAAAGAAATTTCTTGATTTTTGAAACTTCGTTGGCGCTATCTACCTGTTCGCAGAACATCTTCCAGGAGATGCGTTTGGCGGTTCTTGTTAATTTATTGTATTCTTTCCGTTTATCGTGGTAGTTGTCCCAGAATACTGCGGATTTTTTTCGGCGTGCTCTGTTGTAAAGCCTTCGGACCGCTTTTCCTTTCTTCCGAATCTCCCCTGTCATCCAGGGTTTTTCAAAGGCATATCGCCTTTCTCGAAGAGGACAACTTTCTTCGAAAGTCTTTACAATTACTTCCGTTAATTTGTTGACGGTCCTGTCTATACATTCGTGTCTAGGCATTCATAATTTGGTTGCCCTAAACACTCCTTCACTAGTCTCCCGAACTTTATCCAGTTAGTTTTGGACTTGTTACGGAAGTGTATGGGTTTTGGCGGTGGCGGAAGGATTTTTAACAAAATATATTTGTGGTCAGAAAAGGAGTACTCTTCTGAGACTCCCCACTCCTGGACCTCATCTATTAAGTTTGCTGAACATAGTTTTATATCTAATACATCCTCTCTGATTCTGTTATCAAAGGTAGGTTTATTGCCTATGTTAAGTGTTATTAGATCGTTAGTATTCAAATAATCTAGAAGGGCCTGGCCCCTTTTGTTAGTATTTGTACAATATGATATTAGTACTTCGTTACCTGTTTCCTATGCTTTCTTCACCAGTCGCTGCAGCTCCGCCGTTGGTGGTGGTATCGGCGAGTCGAACGGGAGGTATACTGAAGCCAGGTGAATGTTACCACTCCCCTGCTTCAGTACAGTGGCGTCCGATGTTGACAACTCTGAGGAGAATAGAAAGCATACATTTTTATGACATATTATACAGGTTCTCGGACGAGACCCCGTATTTGCATAAAAGAGTTGGTAATTTTTATGGCTTAATCCAAAGGCCTTGTTTTTAATTGCCCAAGGTTCCTGGATCAGTCCAATGTGTATTTTACCTTTTATAATTTTTTCCATCAGGGCCAGGGTTGTCGTCTCGCTCCGATGGAGGTCAATATGGATGACTTCAATCAGTTGTCCTCCAGTAACCGGTTTTCTTGAGAGTCTGTGAAATTCACATCGGCTCTCTCCCCCTTCGCTGCTTTCCTTGGCTTCATCGTATCCTTGTCTTCCCGATTTTGAAGTACACGGCATTGGACACGTAGTACGCCTTGCCCTTGTTGCTGTGATCTTCCTCTTTCGCAACTTCCGGTTGGTCCTTTTGGGATTCCCGATCTTTGCGGAAAATTCCGACTCAGCACTCGTCTTCCTGACATCGAAGCTAGCCTCGACTGCCCTCGTCAGTGGATTCTCGTGACCAACTCGTTTGACGCTGGTTTGACTCAGCTTTCTATTATTATCAGTCGACGGGAAGCTCTTTTTCTTTTTGGCGGATATCACAGTCGCCTGCTCTCCCGGAGACCTTAACCTCTTCGCCGCTTCCGCTGAAATGGAGGGAAGGTCAGGCTTATCCTTTTGAGTCTCTTTCTGTGTCTCGCTCTTTTTGTTTATCCGGTTAATTCTGACCAACTTCCGCCTTTTTACTGCTATAGCATTTTAGTTTCAAGTCAAGTCAAGAAAAAACAGCCCCATAAAACAAAACGTCTCCAATAGTGGACTTTTTAAAGGGAAGGCTGACAGTGTATGGTGGTCAACAACGAGCATGGATGAAATCTGGCATAGAGTGCAAGATGAAGGGAACAATATCCCTGATAAAATCATAAAAAATGGATGTGAATAAAGATTTTGATTATAAGTGCAAAATGTTACAATTGGGTTGTTATTCATTTTAGTTATATTTCTAATATATTCTTTAATTTTTTATATTAAAATTGTAGTAGGATGTTTGTATTGAAAATGGGATATATTGGCCCACGTATTGGTATATCCCACATATAATCTTTACTTTCCATTTGCGGAATTTTGTAGGATTATGTTACTTGAACACCGAAGGGCAAACAAGGCATTCCAGGCAAACAAATTAAGAGACTTTTTTAAATAAATATAAGTCCATGTTTTGTAATAAAAATAACTACATAGCCTCATATGAAGACCGCACTCCATTTTAGGTATATTAGCGAAGTGGCTGCAATGTTGCAGAATGTTGTCAATATAGGTTCATGTGTTGACATAACCATATAAAAATTTTATATTTCGGGTTATTGGTATGCCAATGAAATGCCAAAAAATGATTGCAAGAGCTCCCTGCTTTGACAGAATTCCCAATGGGTAAATAATTTCTTTGCAGAAACTTTTCGGAATAAGCCGACTGAACCGTCTGTAATTATGTATTTAATTTTCTCAGAGAATAAGACACCTCCTGACTCACGATGTACAATGAGTAGCATACATGTAGAAGTCCCGACAAATTTCATATGCATCATATGCTATGTTATGTTTTTATTTTCTTAGAAATATATTAAAGTGTTCTTATTGTTTTTTAGTATCGTGCCAACGAAAACCAAGTTTTGCTAATGCTTTATGAACTTCATGATAGGGCGTTCAACCGAAGAAATGCAGATGAATCTAAACAAGAAGTATTTCAGTACACAAAAGCCAAGGTCAAAGGTAAGAATAATTCTTTTTACTATTATATTATATTTAGAATCAAGAAATATATATTTTTAACAAAAATCAAGTAAATACTTGGTCAAGTTGGTCCGGCCGAACTGCTTATACCTTCCGTCATATGGGGTACATTCAAAAAATTCTTTAAAAAGTCGGGACCTTTATATAAGTAGTAACCGTTGAAATTGAAATTTTCGAATTTGAAAGAAATAAATGTTTTACTGAATTGTGCTAGTTTGTGCCAAGTATGGACGTAAAGTTGTGCCATATCAGTCTGGGCCAAATTGTGCCGTTTTTTATTTTCATATACAAATTGTGACGCATTTTTTCGGAATTGGAAAAACTGAATATACAATTTAGCGATGTATGGACGTAAAGTTGTAATAGGCTGGCAAATTGTGATGTAATTATATCCTTCACCTCATTGTGGTACAGGGTATTATGTATATAATTGATTTTAATTTTATTTTTTGTAATTACATATATGTAATTATGTACTACTTTTATACTGCGATTACATTTCAGTCGTGTCAGATCCTTCGGTTACAGGTATTGAATCTGAAAATATATAACTATGATTATAATATCATAGTAAAAAAGTGGAACTATGTGTTTAATATCTTACGTAAAATAACATTGTAAAAATTACTTTAATTTACCTGAGTAATTCCCTCCCGTTTTTTAATATATTTTATGACTTTGGCCTGCAATGAAAACACAATTATATATTCAATAGAAGAACAGTTATATAAATATATAGCATTTCCAGATTAAATGAAACCTTTTACAAATTAAATGAAATCTTTTCCAAATTAAATGAAACCTTTTCCAATTAAATGAAACCTTTTCCAATTGAAATGAAACCTTTTACAAATAGAATGAAACCTTTTCCAATTGAAATGAAACCTTTTACAAATAGAATGAAACTTTTTCCAAATTAAATGAAACCTGTTTATGTTGAGCAATGTGGCAAATATGTAAATAAAAATAAAAACACAAGAGAATTAGTTTTTTGTAATAATAAGGGTTTGCTGGTTTATTGAATTGTTTTTTCTATACAAATTACCTTTATGGCGTCAGAGGCCGAGGTGCTTTATCTTTCAACGTTAAAAGAAAAGTGAACGCCGAGGTTCAAGTGGATCGCAGAGGATCTTAGTGATTGCAGAGGATCGTTGTAATCTTACTGATCTTCGTTAAGTACAGCTACAACTACAAATTCAAGTGAGAGCATAGTCTCTTATGTATCAAAATGAGCAAACCAACAACAACCGTCGCCCGTTGGTATATACACTCTGCGGTGTCCGCAGAGGGACGTGTATAGGCAATACCCGAGCTGTCAATCAGCATCCGTGATCGACTGAGCTCAGGAAGTTGAAGGCCAACGTATCTAAATTATACATTGCCGCCCACCTTGATACATTTAAGTGTATCAACAAAATAATGATCAAATTAATGCAAATATAATACAAATATAATAATATATGAGAAATAGGTTCGTAAGTTCAGTTCTTGTGTGAGGATTGACAATAATATATTTAAAAATTCAGTGGTTTTAATTCAATTAAATTCAATTTATTACAAATATAAACAAAGGCATTACAATTAAATGTGTATTGGGCCCGATATTACCCAACCGAATGTCGTGTACTGGGCGCTAGGGAGACCGGGTTGGGAAATCACTCTAGGCGATATGACTTTAGAATAAATTTCTGGACCAAGAACCATTGGGATAGGTCCAGAACGATCGAACGTAGGATCCGCGAGTTCGAGGCCCACGAAGCATTCGCGAATATTAGGGGGAGCTGACATTGAGGGAGTTTTACCGCGCGTTATGTTTGCTACCCTAGCCGTCAAAAAATGCCTTTGGCTGGAGTCAAACCGGGACATTATTAAAAAATCACCGTGGTCCATGCCATCTATTTGGGTTACCGGCCATTTCAATTCGTCGATCAGAGTCGCGCAAACCTGACTAACTTGACAACACGGGTCAAGTATTGCTCTGATCGGCATTGAACCATTCGGTAAACAAACGCGTACGACTACTGTGGGAGTTAGCATCATGACTCGACCGACAGGCAATACCGAAGAGGGCAAAACGTTTGGTGGCGGTGTTGGAAAAATGCCTCGAGGGACTACGGAGGTCGAAGGGTTAATTTCCGAGCGCGAACTGTAGGGTGTTGTGGACCGTCTACTCATATGGAGCATTGAATGGTGTTTATTTTTACAAAAGTTACACCTAAGGGGGACGGGGCAAATTCGGGAGCTATGGTCGGGGCGTAAACAATTATAACAATAGTGGTGATACGCCACCGCACGCAAACGCTTCTCAACCGACATTCTCTTGAAACGCGGACATTTATATAGGGGGTGAGAGCGGGAACACAATCTACACGGGGAGGGGGGTTTGGCAAATTCCGCTTTGGCAACCTGACGCGGTGGATCTATAGGTTGGGTTGTAGGTGCTGGAACGACAGAGGTAGGAGCCTCAGAGGTGGTGGGAGCAAGATCCATTGCTGGATTCCCACTTGGAGCCGCAATTTCCTCAATGGTAACCCTCATCTCTGCTTCTACTTCCCGATCGGACATCATCTCGTCATCGAAATCCGACAAGACTACCTCCGCGAACAATTCTTGGTGAGATGCCATATCTAACACAAACAACAACACGAAAGATAGAGATAGAGAGCTTAATTAGGCAGCACAACTAACTTCACGACTGGCCGCCGGACAATACCCTTAGCAGTTCGGACATCTACTACACGAACCTTGCCGTCATCACCGGGATGAATTTCTACAATACGTCCTAATCTCCAAGACGTAGGTGGCAATTTCTCATGACGAATGATTACTAAATCACCGACCTCAACATTTCTTTGCGGATATTTCCACTTATACCGCCTATTCAAACTAAACAAATATTCTTCTTTCCACCTTATACAAAATTGATGCGTCAAAGCTTTCAATTTCCTATACCGATTTACCAAGCTCAATGGCGGTTCATCAACAAGAGGTTCTGGGGCGAAAGAAGTGGTGAGCCAATAAGAAAATGACCGGGTGTGAGGGCAACTAATTCCTCAGGATTATCAGACATTGGATACAGGGGTCGAGAATTCAAACATGCTTCTATGCGAGCTAGAATTGTAGAAAATTCTTCGAAAGTGAAAGACATAGACTTGGCATGCCGATAAAAATGTTTTTTAAAACTTTTCACAGCTGCCTCCCATAGACCACCCATGTGGGGAGCTCCAGCTGGTATGAATTGCCAAGTAAGTTCCTGATACCCCAAAGTAGAACAAACGATATCACGACTTTCACGAATAAAAGTTCTAAAATCTTTTTCAAACTCGTGCGACGCTCCAACAAAATTAGTCCCGTTGTCCGAGAATATGGATTTAGGACAGCCACGACGACCTATGAACCGATAGAATGTAGCCAGAAATGAAGCAGATGAGAGATCAGACGCTGCCTCTAAATGTACAGCTTTGGTTGTAAAACAAACAAAGACGCAGACGTACCCTTTAGTGATACGACAAGCACGTCCAGTAAATGACTTAATGTCAAAGGGACCGGCAAAGTCTACTCCAGTTGTTGTGAAGGGCCTATTCAACTTAGTTCTTTCTGGAGGGAGTGCAGCCATTATCTGTGGACACGATCGATTTTTCTCTAGCCAACAAACCTTACAACGATTAATAACCGTGCGAATAAGTGTTTTTACACGAGGAATCCAAAACTCTGTTCGAATAATACGCAACATAAGCTGATTTCCACCATGAACAGATTTTGCATGAGCAAATTCTACAAGAAGACGTGCAAACCGACTACTATAAGGCAAAATTATGGGGCGCTTTTCTGTTTCTGATAATGAGGGGGGGGGTTTACTAAACGTCCATTTAGACGCATAACACCAAAATCATCTAAAACGGGGTTCAAGGGGAGGAGGGAGCTTGAAGTTGGCAAAGGGCGTTTATCCAGCAAATGTTTATACTCTTCCGGGAAATAAAACTTTTGTGTCAATATGGCTAAATTATTTTTCACCATTCTGATTTCCGAGGAGGTCGGAATTTTAGTGGAGAAACAAGATGGCCGTGAGTGGGGATGAGTTTTATGTATGAACCGATACATATAGGCTAACGATCGCAACGCTTTATCAAGGGAAGAAAATCTATCTAAGAGATCTTCGTATCCCGATATAAATGAAAAATTAACTTTAACGCTACGGGCTTCTAAATTTGTATCAAGGGAAGTGACCTCAGGAATATTCCAAGCAGAATTATCTAAACTCAACCAACTGGGTCCCTTCCACCAAAGAGAACTCGCAGCAAGTTCTGAAGGCGATGTTCCACGACTTCCCAAGTCAGCCGGGTTATCTTCAGACCTGACGTGAAACCAATGACCATTTCCAATATTTTGTTGAATGCGGCAGACCCTATTTGCCACAAAAGTGGTCCAAGTAGTGGGAGTTTTTCTTAACCACGCTAACACTATAGTCGAATCGGTCCAACAATAGATTTTATAAATTGGAATCTCTAAGTCATTCAATATAGGCTTTAAGAGTTCCGATGCTAATACCGCTCCACACAATTCTAGACGAGGCAACGAAATAGTTTTAATGGGTGCTACTCTTGTCTTAGAGGCCAATAAATGAACAAAAATTTCACCTTGAGGGTTTCGAATACGAATATAAATTACCCCCGCGTATGCTTTCTCTGAAGCATCCGAAAACACATGCGACTCTGCTAATGAATTTGGTTCATATTGAACCCAACGAGGAATTTTTATAGAGTTCACATGAGGGTAATTTTCAACAGACGTTTGCCAAGAATTATTGGTAGAAATAAGAAGACAATCATCCCATCCTATATTGTCTAACCAAACCTTTTGCATTATTATTTTTGCTACCACTATAACAGGGGCTAACCATCCAAGGGGATCAAACAATTTAGCGATATGAGAAAGAACTTCTCGCTTGGAACTACTTGCCTCAACAAAAGAAAGAACCTGAGCGTCAACTAAATGGGTAGGAGGCAAACGAGTTAGGTTTGCAAGGAATAGGATTCACACAAAAGTAGAACGAATCGTATACCCAATGCTTGGAACTACTTGCCTCAACAAAAGAAAGAACCTGAGCGTCAGGGAAGCAATGCTTTTTCGTTTGCAGTCCATTTTCTCAATTCAAATTTAGCGGTGGATAGGGAAGCAATCTGAGCAAGCAAAGTTGATTCTAAATCATGTGCACCAGCGAGGACATCATCCACATACATGCTATTGCGTAGGATTTTTGAAGCTAAAGGAAATTCAGATTCACAATCATCAGCCAGCTGAAGTAAGGTACGAATTGCCAAAAAGGGAGCGCAATTTACACCAAACGTGACAGTTTGCAATTCGTAATCAACAATGGGATCATTTGGGGATTCTCTAAACACAATTCTTTGAAGCGGTGTATGTTGTGGGTGGACGCGTATTTGACGATACATTTGCGTTATGTCGCAATTAAACACGAAACGGAATAATAGCCATCTTAATATCAATAGGACTAAGTCCGCTTGGAGAGTTGGTCCCACATGCAGAATGTCGTTTAAACTAATACCAGTGGTCATTTTATTTGATGCATTGAATACAACACGTACTTTAGAGGTCTGTTTTTCAAGATTGACTACAGGGTGATGGGGTAAGTAACAGACAAGTGGCGCTTGAGAGGGAGAAACAGAGCACATGTGACCTAAGTCAAGATACTCGCGAACTACTGCATCATAAATTTTTTTCAGGGATGGTTTGCGCAAAAGTGAACTTTCATTTTTAATAAATTGGCGTAAGACATTCTGCCGCGATTCACCAATTTGCAGACTTTGAGGAAATTCAGCACGAATGGGAAGGGTGACAACGTAACGACCTTCTGAATTCCTCGTAGTTGTGGACCTGTAGTTCTCCTCGCAGAACTTGTCAGATGGCGAAAGAACTTTGCGTTATGGAACCTCCTCAAGTTCCCAAAAACGCAGAAGAGTTTTATTAATACTGTCTTCCTCCATAAATTTCAAAGTGGTAGTAAAGACCTGCAAAGGGGAGCAGGGAACCAGAAAGAATCCAACCGAAGACAGTATTTTGCGCCAAAAGTGAACCTAAGACGTTTTGTTGTACCCCAGGCAACAAGATTTGAGGATATAAATCCGCACCCAACAACATATCTACTGGGCGACAATCAAATATATTAGGATCAGCTAAACGAAGATTGGGCAAAGATCGACTAAAGGCAGGGTCAACAGAAAATGAGGGAAGATTGCCGGAGATTTTGGGGAGAACGAAAGCATCAGTTGTCAACAGAATAGAAGAATTTACTCGACTACCTATACAAAGGCGACAATTTCTCCTGGAAGTAATAGAAGATGTACCATTGACACCCGAAATATTCGCAAGTGTGGATGAAGTCGTCTCAGACGCAGGGTCAATGAGAGCTCGGACAGGATACGAATTTCCTTCGTGAATAATATTTAAGAATTCTGCGACGTGTGATAAACTTGACGGTTTACTACAGTCGGATTAGCGCCAGTGGAAGTAGATGCAACATTATCTAAATTTGGATTAGACTGCGTTCTGGGGACTAGAACTGGAGGTGCCACATTTGAAGTGTTGTTACTAATGGAGGTCGATCTGTTGGGTTTATGCATAAGAGTATGGTGCCTTCCATGACATACATTGCAATTATGAGTGCTGGGACACTGGTTAACCGAATGACCTCTAGACAGACAATTGAAACAGAAGTTATGCCTTTTAACAACTGAAAGTTTTTGTTCGAAAGTCAACTTTTTGAATCGAGGACAGGAGTAAAGTGCATGATTATCAGTGGAGCAGACAACACAACGATTTTTTGAATTCGATTTTATTGTATCAGAGGACGTTTTTGCCAAATGTGCCTTAACGTTGCGTGGATTGGGAGATTTTGAGGAATCTATACCTTTAATGTCACGCAAACAGGCTAGCGTCTGAATTCTTTCCGTAAGGAACGAATCGAGCTGACACCAAGACGATAATGACGACCTATCTGTAAGACTCTGTTCCCAGAGTGTCACTGTAAGCTTAGGCAGACGCTGAATACAAATAAAAACTAAAATAGGATCGCAATGATCCGTAACAATGTCATAGACTGACATAGCAGACAAACAACCATTGATGCCCCTTTGCAAAGTTTTTAACCCTGAACTCGTCTCATTTGCTAATGAGGGAAGGTCGAATAAAAGCTTCAGATGACTATTAACAAGGATTCTTTTATTTTCAAAAGTATCCCTAAGTGCTTTCCAAGCAAGACCAAAACTTCTATGCGTGAACGGAAACTTAGCCACGATTTCCCTAGCCTCACCTTTGGTTTTCTGTACTAAGTGACATAATCTTTCAACGTCACTTAGCCGAGAGTTATTAATAAACATAGCTGAAAAAAGGTCACGGAATGTGGGCCATGATAAAAAGTCTCCGTGGAACTCATCAATATCACACGGTGGTAGATTTAAATTATGCATTGTATTAGAGACGCTTGGCGGCAAACTCCAATTAGAGATCGAAATATCTGCAGAATTTTGAACATCTGGATGAACAGTATTGGAGAGCGAAGGCAGATTTAAACTAGTACTAGCAATGTTTTCCGAATTAGAAACACC